ATCAGCGAGCCCGACAGATCGCATACCCAGGTATGAAGCCCGTGGATCGCCGAGCTTGTTCGGTGTTTTGCCAAAACTCAGCGGAAACCCCAATGTCACGCCAAGAAGTAAACAACATGCTGTCATTCTCGCTCCGAGGGTCGGGATACTTCTTGTGGCTTAACGATGGCAGGTTAATATCTTCCCGTTATTGGGGGGCTGTTTATGATGAGCTATTCTTGGGCACAGAGGCTAGTCTGGACTGTCAGGTAACCTGGTCGAGCTTGGTCAGCAATATATGCTAGCTTGTCTGTGGCTTGTTAGGTGTGACGGGGTTGAAGGTGAGGGGGGGATGGTGTGATCTGTTTACTCTATCGACGGTGGAGCTGGAGGCTTCCGATGGTGTTGGATGGTCAGGTTAAGGCTTGCGGTGGACAAGTGGTGGTCGTATGTTGAGACGTGATGCAGGACCAAGGAAGGTACCGGCGAATGACGCCCGCGGTCGATGCAGGTGGTCGTCTGCAGGCCGGTGTTGCATCCTGGAGCCGGACCCGGGTTCCTGGCTGGGGTGATACTGCGGGGGTGGAGGCAACGCATAGTGTAGCTATTTCTGTCCGATGGGACCGAACTGCATTTCAACCGAGATGGGGGACGGGTAACACAAGAGCTCGTGACTACATGTCAAAGTCGTGATGCTGGGTTCTCGATCCACTGGTATACTATGAAGCGGGAGCAGCTTGTCCGGGACGCAGTTGACAGAAGCCATTGTTACTAGTGTTCTTGGTAGTAGTGTTTGTTCTAGGGATGGTGGGACAAGTGAGTGAGCAAGATACGACCGGTCAGTGTAAAGCAACGTAGGATCATGGCTGCTGTGCACGCCGAGCTGTTACCCAGGACAATATCAGAACGTGTGTCTAGACCATGGCCTGATGCAATGGACAAGAGTACATGATGATCAGTTCGTCGAGACACAGCGAAACCCGGCTTGGACCCGGAGAAAGTCGTTGATCGGCCGACATGGTGGCATGGTTGACTGCGACCAGACTAGCCACTCCGCAATATGCAAGGTCCAAGAGCCTCGTTCGGCTAGCCAATGGGCTGTTGTGACACCCCAACCGCATGCTTGCTAGACAATATCAAGATGATGGTTGTCTTATGACACCGGCCGGTGTGGACGCCTCGGTTTGCCTGCGGTTCCTGAACCATTGCAGTTGACCACGACACGGCACGGGTCAATAGCACGTTTACGAAGATGACGGCCAAGCTGGGAAAAAGGGGAGGAAGAACATTGACCATGAGAAGTTGGTATAAGCCGTGGTCCCGTAGCCAGGCAGGGTCCAAAGCCAACTCCTTGCTTGTTGCCTGTCTGTAATATGTGCCTGGATACGGGCCATGGCCACAAACAGACGGCTCGGCTGAAGGCAATCACATCTCCAGTCCCGTCAGGTGACCACATATCCAGGTCTTGGCTGATATACGGATCGCTCATGCGGTTGTTACGCCATAGCCAGGTTCCAGGCAAGCCCCCGGGTTGCACTCGATGGCACGGCAATTAAGCTTAATATACCGGACCCTGACACTGCCACCAAAAATAGGACATGCCATCAACCCGTAGCGTCGGTCGCTTTCCGGTCCATTCTAGGACGAACTAGATCGCCAGAAGGACATGGGTTGCGGGATCTGATGTGGCAAACGGTTCGCGGTGTTGATGTGGGTTGATGCAATGGCTCGAAGACTCGGATCTCGAGCTCGGGAAGTGTGTTGTTGCCACCTGATAACCTTCTAGGCTTTCATCAGCCAAGCAGCTTATCTCTCTCATCGTTGTCGCGATGTCGTCGGCAAATGCCCGAACCGCGAGTGAATGTTGCTGGCGCGATGGCTTCCAGTCCGCTGCCATCGAGGCTCAACACCCAACTCTCGGCCGCACCCGATCGGTGACGAGTCGAACAAGTAAAGCCCTGCCATCTCCAAATGGTTCGTTTCTATAAAAGGAATTGTGGCTACCATGCCGCATCTCTTCTCGTGGTATCATATCGATACCGCGTATCACATACGAGAAGAGAGAAAGGGACGGTGAACTCACCACAACAACACGATCGGTTATACTCTTCGGGCAACCAGATACAAACATTTCCTGGTCTGTTATGGGTCGCGGAATGTGCTGTGACCTGTTCCTGTCGGGAGGCGAGAGTCCATAAGAGCTGGCGAGTCCCGCCTTAATATGAAATTCATTTATCCTCACTTCACCCGTAAATTTGCAGCTACCTCCGTGACTGCGACCTTGGGAGGCTGAGAGACGAACATTGTTCTTTCGACTTGGTTCCAGAGTGTCGAAAACAATGCTCGCAATCAAGCGAGTTGGTGCTTCCGAGGCTGAAGGATAGAGGGCCATTGGCGCGAGACGCAATCTACTCTCCATTAACGACATCGAACAAGGTCGACGCCAAGACGTACTCTCTCACCATCGTGCCCGTCCTAGTCGAGAACTAGACGAACAAGTCCAAGGCCTTTTGCCTCCGCATCCGGATATCGTCGATTAGGGGGTCCCTGGTCGCCGGATATGTTGCCATCGCGGAGAACAGAGCACGGCTTGAGGAGGCGGGAAGAGGAGTCGTCGAAAACGGATATATAAACAGACCTCGTCGCCATGGGATCAACCTTCTTTTCTCTTCTTCACCTCAGCAGCCTCCAGCCTTCCAGAGTCAAGCAGCCTCCAGATCTTCATCTTCCAACCAGACCTCTCAAGTCTCAAAATCAGCCAATATGCGCTCTTTCGCCTTCCTCCTCCCCGCCCTCGCGGCCGCCTCGCCCATCGCTCAGACCACTCCCGATGGCTGGGCTGACGGCCCCGACCCCAACCAGATCCAGATCACGAGCGCCTCCTTCTCTGGCAACGGCTGCCCGCAAGGCACCGTCTCGACCAGCATCTCCCCCGACAAGACGGTGAGCCTCCATTGAGTTGTATGTGGAAGAGATCCGAACTAACTGTTCCGCCAGGTCATCACCTTTGGTTTTGACAAGTTCCAGACCTACATCGGACCCGGCTTCGACCCGACCCAGAAGACCAAGAACTGCCAGCTGCACCTGAACCTCAAGTACCCCGGCGGCTTCCAGTTCTCCGTCGTGGACAGCACCTACCACGGCTACGCCCAGCTCGAGGCGGGCGTGACGGGCACCTTCTACTCGACCTACTACTTCTCCCAGTCGGCCGGCGACACCACTACGACGCAGACCTCCATCGCCGGAGGCGGCATCTGGGCCCAGGGCCAGGTCTACACCAAGGCCGACCAGGTCCCGACCGCGAGCTACATCTACAGCCCCTGCGGCGCCAACGGCATCCTCAACGTCAACAACCGCATCGCCCTCACCAGCACCAACAGCAGCGCCATCGGCGAGCTCACCGACGACGATGCCACCGTCGCCTTCACCCAGCAGATCCACCTCGCCTGGAAGACCTGCAAGAAATAGATGGCTTGAGGGCACCAAGGGACGTGAAGCATCGGCATCGAAAAACAAAACTTTCTTTCTCTCGTTTTACCAATGCATTGGACCGGGGGTTCGGGATGTGGTTTCCTCTTGCAGATGATGGATCGGGTTGCTGGGGGCCGAATATGACGGGAGAGAGCATAGCGGCTGCTCTGGGTCTTGTCGGGACGGGACGGTTGAACACCCCTCATGTCCTGGGCGACGACATGTCTCTTTCCGATTATTCCAGCTTCATTTCCTTTTGTCAAGTCATAGCATAAGTCAATCAAGCCTTCACTGAACTTTGCCGCCACACAACATTTGCCAGTGACTCTGAGTAACTGCACGGGCTGACATGTTCCCTCCAGACGGCAGAGCCTTGCGTCGACCGGACAAGAAACCGTCGTCAATATTGCCGGATGGTGATTGCATTCCTTGCCCCCGTTTACTTCGGAACCCGGCGGCCAAATCCCATCTCCAATGCGCCAGTATGCGCGGAGGTTCAACCACTGCACCATCTGCAGGCATTGCACCACAATCACCAACCACAGCAATTAACCCTCAGCAGCGTCCCGAGCCACTGGACTCGCGTAGTCAATATCGGGAGCGAGCCAAGTCCAGATCTCAGGTAAGGTACAGGACGATCCCATTCTGCCGACCCGGCAAAACCAGAGGCGCGGCTAAAAATAGCCCTTATGCGTCCACAACCGATGGACGGAGGACGGATCGGGGAAGGTAGTCACCGCTTGCCCCAAACACGATAGCACGCGCTGGCACCGAGAATGAAGGGAAGGGCCAGATTATCCGGTATAGTGCTGACCCAAGAGCCGCAGTAACGTCCAAAGTCATCACGGTTGTCGATATCGACACACTTGCGCGGAGAAGACAGGCCTTGCCGGATCTCAGACCCGGGCATGGAGAACCGTTGGTTTAGGGCAGCAGTCGCGTAATGGCGATGCAACGATGGTTTATGCGAGGGACTTGTTGATTTTCGCTTGTTGGCATCAGGCAAGCAGCGGTGTGTGACTCTTCATGATGCCTGAGGCTCGCTGGTTGACGTGGCTCGGACCACTGGCTGTGTTGCTCGCACGGTGAGGGCCATTCGTGGCATGGAAATGGTATGGCAAGAGAGCGTGCGGAGAACAGCCGATGGAGGACTTCTGAACAAGAGGAGATATAGAGGCTTTGGGAACAAGTCCGAAAATATCTTGGGTTCAAAAACCCCAACGGAACCAATTCCGCCGACGACAGGACGCGGCCGAGAGGTGATAACGACATAACACGCGATGAGGTACTACCTCCCGCTCCCTGATGAGGCCATCTCTCAAGTTGTGAGAATTAAAGATAACGAAGAGAAAAGTATGAAAGAGACAAGGAATAAACAGAAGAGCGACGCAGTCGTCAAAATAAGGTTGCCATTGTCTTCCAGAGATGGAAGGTGCGAAGCGGTCGCTCCTTCCCGCGCACACAAAAATCTTCAAAACACCAAAAATATCATCACCAGTTTGCAAAACGATCAAAGGGGGATTCAAGAGCAGCAAAGAAGCAAAAGCAACTGGTCCCATTGGGGGTTGAACCCAAGACCTTCGCATTTACTTGATGCTCGTTATCCGAGGACGGCGAGTATTAGTACGACGCTCTAACCAACTGAGCTATGGGACCGATGGTGAAGGAGCCTGGTAACGGGTAACATAACGGATTCCGGCCGGAGTCCGCCGATGGGCTGTGTGAATGCAAAAATCAGCCGAAAAGGGAATAGTGTGGCTTTCACGCAGCTCTGAAGCGTTGTCAGAGTCATTCACAACCGGCCGGTGTCTCAACCCACTTCTCATCATGGGAACTCTGTAGACTGAAGTCTTGAAGTCATGAGACCAGACTTACAGGAGTATTTCTGGCATTTCCTCGGGTCTCAATGGTAGAAAAATAGTGCCAAATATCGTTCCACAGCCTCTCAGGCTCAGAGATTAAACAAACAAATAGCCACAGATTGCATTCCTGTCTAATCACTCATTCACATATGCCTCTGTGATCTGACTTCTTTGGTTCCGACAACAGGTAGACTCCCCTCCCTGTCCTGGCCACCATCTTCACCCCCGTCCATCTCGAGCAATCTCTCACCCTCGTCGTGTATTTTCCACCCTTCCCTCCTCTTCCCTCCCACATCTCCTCTCCCCCTTCCCCTCAACCTCCACCAAACCCACCAAGCACCCCCAACGCCCAACACCCCCAGCGCCGTCGCCGGGTAGGCAAACCACACAAACCCCTCATCCTCACTCCTCCCACTGCGAGGCGGTATCCAAGGCAGTATCAACAGCAAGCAATTACTCGCAGCGTATATCCCCATCGCAATCCTCGACGCGCGAAAGGGCGAAGCCCATTTCTCTGCGGGTGTGGAGTGGAGGTACAGCAATCCTATCGAAACGGCCACGCTGATGACGGAGACCGGGTAGCCGCCTATGTCGACTAGAAAGTTGTAGATGCGCCCCCGGGGTGGGAGGATGATGACCAGGGTTGAGATGAGCCAGTGGAGGAGGAGGCCGCGGGATGGGGGGAGGGGAGCTGGTGCGGGTTGGAGTTTGCTGTCGACGGGTGCTGGTTTGGGAGTGGAAGTCCAGAATTTGGTGAAAGGTAGCAGGCCATCCTTCGCCAACTCCTCGTTCACGCGAGCTTGCGCGAAGCTGGTCGCTGCTATGTTCCCTGCCGCGGAGATGATGACGAATAAAGGCAAAATATGCGATCCGACGCCCGGGCCAAAGACGTTGCGGAAGAAGATACCTGTTACCACCACGCCTGCGGAGCGGAAGTCGTCCTTATCCACCACGAGAAAGAAGGCGATGTTGATGGCTAGGTACGCCACCGATACGAGAATGAGGGCAATGGGTGCCGCAATCTTGAGCGTCCGAACCGGGTTCTTGACGTCCGAGAGAACTTGATTGGCTGTGCTATAGCCCCTGAAGCAGTAAATGACCTTCAGCAGTGCCGTAGCGTAGTCGTAGGGCTGTGTTGAAGACCCGGCCCAGATATCGGTGAAGTTGCGTTGGGCGGTGCTACGAGGAGCAACATCCGATAGCGGTACATCGAGCCGACGGCCCATGAGGAGGTCCCGGTCGCTTCCGACCCCCATTAGACCTCCTGCTATGCCGGACAGAATGACAATGACGAGGATGAGCATCTTTGCTACCCCCAGCACGTTGATGAGACGGAGACCGAGCTTGGGATGTCTGGCGTGTATGTAGCATAGCCCCGACACTGTCGCAACCGCAATGGCCCTGACGTTCCATTTGTTGGGGGCAATGTCGACTGCATATAAGACGTACTCGCCCAGGACTATTGCGTTCGGTGTTGAAAAGCCCAGTAGCACGACGTACGCCATGAACATGCACGTTGCTAGCATGTATGGCTGTCTGAAGATGCGCTCTAGGTAGACGCGCTCGCCTCCACTTCGAGGTATCGCTGTGCCGAAGTCCTGGACTATGTCAGTAATGGGTCATTCGGGAGTTGGAAGTGACATACCAAGTACACAGCAAGGCCACAGAAAGATATCAAACTCCCAACCACCCAAAGCGACAACGTCATCCCCACCGAGCCGACTCCTGCGAAAATGGCGGACGGGACCGTATATGCCCCTACTCCTACCGTCTTACCGACGATGATGTTGATGGCTGAGATGATACCGAGCTTCCCTTCATCTCTGCGTAGGACCGGCACACCAGGTGAGGCCGGCTGAAGAAACCATGTCCGGTCCGTAGGCGACTCGTCAGAGAGCGTACTCCTTCTGTCTTCGTCATGCTGATCGTCCCGTTCTACCCATACGACTCGCGAGTTCGGTGTTCTGATATTGAGTGGGAAGAAGCTTGGAGGTTCGAGATACAGTGACTTCGACCCTGCTATTCCCTTCTTGGCGTCAACGTCGTGCGACGGCGGTATGGGTGATCGACACGTGAGGTTGAAGGAAGCCTGTAACGGCGAGGGGGCTGTTGATATGGCCCCGCTTATGAAGGAGGACGAGTACCATCTTGGCGTTGACGTGGAGGACAGCGGTCGTGGTGCCATGGTGTCTCGTGGAGTGGTAGCCCTAGGCTAGGTGTGTGACACAGGCGTGGAGCGCACGATTGAGCTAGTTTTAGGGGGAGTAGAAGAGTGAGAGAAACTTGCTCAAGTCATGCATGGAGTTAGAGAGGAGCGGAGAATATGTATATGTAGCGTTGATGATACGAAACCGTGTAGACGAGGGGGATGACAAGGGGGGGCGAGGGAAGATATTCCTCTCGGACTCACTCGATTCCAAACATATCCGATCCTAAGGCAATCACAAAGTCAAACTCATAACAACATCAAGATAAACCAGAAGAAACGGATAAAGAGAGGAAGCTGGTCACAGGAGATGGTGATCACGAAGGACCGCTTGGTCCACGACAGACTCGGTGGTTGCCAGCATCTCATCCTTCTCAAACAACAGGCTGTCATCCCACAAGGGGTTCGCTGCGAGGTCATAGGAAAGCCTACAGTAGCACAGATGCACTCGTTCCTCACTGGCCACCCATGGCTGGCTCCAAAGGATCACAGCTAGAGAGTCGGGAATCCTTGGCGTGATCGCCAGTGTGAACTGGGAGTTGAAACTTGGGCCTGGGGAATTCCTGTCATCCCATGTCGTGAATTGTAAAAGAGCCCATCTTTAGCCATGAACCACCCAAGTTGTCGAGCAGCCAGGAGGAGGAGGATGCAATGAAGAAAGACAAGCTTTGCAGCTTCCCGGTCGTGCAAATCACTGCAACATCGAGCCCGTCTTGGCACAGTGGACGTTACAGCTTTGGTGCCCTGAAACCCGCTACAATGCGGGAGCCAGTGGAGCAGATCCTGCTTGTTTCAGGCTTGGCGTCGATCTGACCAGCGCCGCTTCCGCCTGTGCATTTTCTTCTTTTCACAAGGTACGTCCTAACCTCATCCTTTTGATGAACTTCTGCTTGACGATGATTATTTTGGAACTTGTAACGGTGAAGCCGGTTTCTCTTCCTCGATATTAATGCCTCGCTAGGTACCATAAGTAACACTATCCTCTATATCAGAAGCGCCTCACCGCTCGATAAAACCCTTACCCGAACCCGGACATTCTCCCTGATTCCCTTCGATATCTCTTAACGCCCTTAAGATACCTACCCTCGATAGAGAGCTCTGACTTCCTCCTAATACCTTACTCTTGAATACCTTGCCTTACTCTTGACGAAGCGTTTAGTAGATACTTGACTACCTGGAGGGCAGAACAACCCTAACCCTTCGAAAGCCAAACCTTTTTCCAGCCCACTGCAACAACCCCATTCGAACGTCCTCCCTACAACACATACAGAACATGTCAGCTTCAAAAACAACTTTCGACATGTCAGACCCTTATGATCTCCCTATTGTCGAATTAGCTGCCGTTGAGATCTCTTCCTTCACCAAGTAATGCTGGTATCTGTTCTCACAGATCTTGGCAGCTATTTCTCACAGATCTTACTCAGTAGAAAGACCGAACGCGCTTCCGGGCCGAACCTGGGCTGCTCTCAGACCACCGTCTGCGCTTGCGCCCAGTCGACAAGTTGGAGTCAGAGCCGTCCGAGATATCGCTTGAGCAGTCAGGCTGGAAGTCGTCGTCAGGCTCAGCGGCCGCCTCCGCCTCTTCTATAATCCTTTCGAGTTCTTCAAGCGAGTCCAATGACTTCTCATCGGAGTCGGAGTCGGAGTCTGAGTCAGCGGACGAGATTTTCTCTTCGCCGTCGTTGTACTCCGCCATGTCCTCTGCTTCTTCAATAACTCTATCGTATTGTTCGATTGAGTTCAGCGAGTCCGGGTCCGAGTCCGAGCCTCTGACTGCGAAACGAGTCTCCTTCTCGCCGCTATTAGGCGTATCTGGAGATTCGACCGTGTATCGTCGGGTACGTGAAGGGCTAGTGAATGCGTCCGATGGTAGAGTCCGCGAAACCGATGATCCGGAAAGCCGGCCGGTCGTTTGCGGCAGAGCTACAGTTGACGAGGAGGTAAAGCGGTAGCTTGCAGTACTTAGGCCTTGCACACGCTCCGCCGCCTGTGCAGCCTGGAACTCGTTTAGTTTCCGTGAAAATTGCTCCCAGGCACCCTGTATCGCATGTAGTATACTGCGACGGCCGGAAGTGATGAGGTTATGACGTGCACCTTCCCAAGCAGCTTGTAGTGCCCTCGCTGCGTCCTGTAGTTCGACTGGAGCTATTCAGAAAGGTATTAGCATAGGTACTTCTTCCGGTCCGTGAGGAGGGAGATAACTCACGCAAATGGCACCCTTGCGCTGCTTGTTTGCAGTTCTGGCATGGAGCATCGTCGTCCCGTCCGGGCTGATTATGACAGCCTAGGAAGGGCCTCTTTAGTCGGGTTGATCCCATCCGACGAAGACAGTTCATACACGCTGGACCCCGTCCTTTCGAATCCGAGTGAAGCGTGTCATTTCTACCCGTGTTCAACGGAGTGGTAAGACTGGGTGATGACTCTTGACTGTCGGAAACCTCGTTATATTCTCCAGAGTCCAAAGCGGCATACTTGGCGACTCTTGTCAGGCTTTTCTTGGGACCATCACTCGTACGTCTGTCAAGGCTATACGACGCTGTTGGTGCTTGCTTCCGCTTAGGAGAGAGAGTTGTAGGCTGTGCGAGCAC